GATCCAGTTTGTTTGTCCAGCTTCAGTCTGTCTCTGAATCTCCCACCAAGAACATCTTCATATACAGTCATGCTGTCAGCCTGTTTATTGATTTCAGCTATTAAAGTGTTTTCATTCAAACATGTCCACTGAAACAGATCATCATCAGCCATTTTTATAAAATTAGCATTCAGAATGACTGAATCTCCCTCCATCGCTGACACTGCCAAGCGTGCACCTTTTAAATTAAGCCCAGCTGAAGGACAAACAGAAACAGAGTTCATCTCAGAAAGAGTTTTTAGGATGGTTTACTAAATTAAAAAAGGTTAAAACATTAATTTTACATGAGTAACGTCATAAAACAACAGAATAAACATGAAAAAGCAAAGAAAACAGGTGAAACTAAAATGAACTCACAAAGGACAGTGAGATTGAAACTCTTGCTCACACTGTTGATCTGTAGTTCATAACGTCCAGAGAGTGCAGCTATGGTGTCTGTGATGGTCAGAGATCCAGTTTGATTGTCCAGCTTCAGCCTGTTTCCGAATCTCCCATCAAGAACATCATAAAATACAGTGATTCTCTCAGCCCATTTACTGACTTCAGCTATTAAAGTGTTAAAAAAACCTCCACTGAATCAGATCACCATCCATTATGTAAGACCAGAGTTTAGAGTGACTGAACGTCTCTCCCGCACTGACTTCACTTCATCACCAAACACACCTGAAGAACAGTTTTAGCTTTCAAATCATTTGATGTCTGTTTGATGAAGCTTCACTAAAATACTTGTATTCATTTAAATGTGATATGAAAAACATTCAGCAGCAGCACAAAGACAAAAGTCATAAATACTCTTTTAAAACTCACCAACCAGATGCCACAAACAGAGCAAAACTAATTTGAGAAGCATTTTCTTCATCGGTTCACCAAAGAGCCCACAGTAGTGATGCCTAAAATGTGTGAAAACACTCAGGTTTATCTGGCTGCGATATTTATCTGGTTGTGACCCCAGTCACAGTTTCCGTTCACACGTCCATCTCTTTTAACATCATGAGAATCAACAAGCTTTTGCTGATCTTACATTTTCAAATGAATTACGGTCCTGTATGAAAACTAATAGCAGAAGAGCGAAATAGAGCATTTACAACTGCATAAAGAATGCAATGAGATCAATGTTTCGAATATAAAATGTTGAATATTAAATTAAATGATTGTTTGAACATACATTGTGAAACAGAAAAAAAATCATGTCTAAAATGTAACTCAGTGTAACTTTGTTGAACTGTGAAAATAACCATCACATTTGCTAATCATCGCATCTTGCTTGTGTGTAATTCAACATCAATACAACATAATTTGTGTCAAACTGTACAACAATAATTACTATTTTTTGTATTATCGTAAGGGGTAGGTTTAGGATTGGGCTAGGTGTAGATGTTAATAAAACACTTTCTAATAGGTAGAGATTTACATTTCATTGTTAGTTTCCGGTTGGAGCTGTATCCCTTCTAGCCACAAGAATTGCTTAACTCAGTCATATGACACAAGTACAAGTTTTTCCCCTTATATC